GTACATCCGGTACGGAATCCGGACCGGAGTTGCGGTATGGAAAGAGTTAATATACCTTAAGATAATAGGATATCCATTCAATAATAAACTTCTAAAACTCATTGAATACGAAACTACAACACACACACAATAGAACTGGGAATTAATTTTATAAACTTATATTGACGTTTTTAAGGAAAATTTCGTGAAATAAATCTATTCAAAAATTTAACTGCAAATGCAATTGAAGCAGTTCGAATTATCATGAAACAAAATTTCACTCCATACTTTTGAAATATATTATCTAGGGAAACTAAAATAATAATGTCAAGAAGGGAAGAATATCCAATATTTGACTTGAAAAATTGATTTACACTACTATTGAAGAAGATCTGATCACTGTAGCCCTATGTATTCCTTTTTAGATGATGTGTTAATCATTCTGTTTTAGATGACAGTGGCAGACCTTGCCTTATACACTCTGTTCGATGATTTGACCGGAGGTGTTTACGGTTCTGACCTTGCCAAGAGTTTTCTGGCAGATGAAAAACTGAAGTCACATTTTGATAGAGTGAAACAACAAAAACGAATTGCAGACTGGATTGAAAAACGTCCTACAACGGAACGATAGATTACCCTAACTACATCTATAATGGTTGGGGGAACTAATCAACGGTTATACACGAACAGGATACTAGGACACGTGACTTGTAAATGGTATATTGTACAACATGTATTCGCGAGATGAGAATCGTTATAAACATATTTTATTCACATCTTTTCTTCTTCAGCTTCGTAAACTTTCACAATATATCAATTAGCGTATGCGCAGTGGAAAAAAGGTTTTGCGGATTCATGTTTGTATATGGGTGACAGCGGACTACTTCTGTGTTTTACAGTTCAGCGAGAGCATGGACCGAAGAAAGCCATTGCTTGGTTCGTTCAACATCTGGAAACATGTTGCATATTCCGGATCCATTATGTCTAATAATTTACAGCAGAGGGACACTGACAAACTTCTTATTCCATGGATGCACATTCACATTTCTTTCACTACCAGGTTAATAAAAGCTATTAAAAGGAAAAATAGTGTTGTTTACTATATATTTTCTTAATTTACTTATGTATCATTGTAAATTCACTGGTACTATATTAGCTTAGCAACCACGGCTATAATAGTTATCATCGTAGCAACCAACTCCGACTGATTTTTCTTCATGAAGCATTTAAACAATGCTGTTTAAATTGACTTTCATTTTGACAGCGTATACGTTAAAATGAACGCAGTTGGCGACGAGCATATTCTATGGATCGTCAATGCGAGTTTAGTGAGTAAGCGAGTTTAATAATTTGTGCAGGTATTGAACATGAACAATCCATGAATATGACATGTTGTAGCAAATTAGTTGTTGAAATCTAAGGCTTAATGCAGCCCATATCTTTTGGTTTGAACAATAAGTAGCCGAAATGGCGTAGATAAGAAATTAAACGAATGAACCTGCCATCGATCACCAACTTTTGTGATCACTAAAATTTGTTTTTGGCGATTCATCTGCCTGGTTATAACTGCATTTAATTATTTTTTTGTCTCACAAAAACAGATATCATTGGAAACCATTTCGAAAGCTCAAAACCATAATTTCACAGCTTCAAACGTGTCGTTGACATCGAAATCCTCATATAATGTCTCATTAATTCCTTTAACAAGTTTTCATTATTTGTTTGAGTATCTAAATTCCAAACATCTTGCTCTTCTTTTAGATAACGTATAAGTTGATTTTCACTTTTAAAGTAAACTATTGTTTATTTTCATATACCCTTACCAACATAATTTGTCCCACATCTAATATAATGGAAATCGTTAAGTGATTCGAGTGATGTATTTAGGCCGGACAATTATCACATGAACAAATATTGCACAACTGTCGAGATATAAAACTCTTGTTTGTTCGGCTAGCCCTAAATTTACCATTTCGTCTCCATGTAAATTGCCTTTTGGGATTATTTTTGACACCCCCCCCCCCCCCCCCCCCCCCCTCAGTTATTTAAACCCATGGATGTTTCATAGACCGGCATGCTTTTGTTTTCTTAAATAGTCAACGCTCGGACTATGAATCGCAAAAAAATTGAACAATTATTGATCTAGCTTAACCTATACAACGTTGATATTAGATTGTTATTTATACAGGCATCCCTCTATTGTTAGATTTCTCAATGCAATGATACATATTTGCGAACTTAGAACCTTCGCACTCTTTATCATGCTTTATATCATTAATAAAGAGCGTCTCTTGTTAAACAGCTATTTTTTTTAACACGCAACAGTTTTCCTTAAGTCTTTAATTTATATGCATTTTTGTATTGAGGGATGCAGCATATGAACTCCGGATATGTCTTTATGTTGTTTTGCAATTAAGTATTTGTTTGTGGTCGATGTCTTTTCCTAGGTCCGATTTTTGGAAAAGATACTGGGTTGTGTTGGAGTCGTAGTCATAAATCTATCCAGAGACCTATGGTATGGGTCACTCTGGTCTAATGCTGACCTGCTTCTTTTAACCTGACTTCCCATATGTTTTACTGCTTTGTTCTGTGTCTACCTGTGCAGTCCATCTATTTGTAAGCTGTCTCAGCATCATCGATTTTTTTTCTGAAGTATCGGAATATTCAAACTGCCTGTGATATTTAACACCGCAAAGTAACAAATCCATCCTTCCTGACAATTTACTGTTGCATGACATCTTCTTTGCGCTTAGTAACGACTCGCTTGCCTGTCTCACAGAGTTCGTCAGTTCATCAGATCATTATTGAAATAAGCAAAAACTTGTGTTTTGTCATGGCAGTAATTTTGATAGTTGGGATTTTCAGGGAAGGGGAAAACACAAGTATCAATGACGTTACTGCACACAAATATTAAAATATATATTTTTGGTATAATGATTTAGTTGGCGAAAACATGTTCTATTCCCTATTTCATAAACATGATATGCTGGCAATGATTAGTTATCAATGCTACAAAAAGGACAAATGTGCCCATACAATGTGGATACCATTTCAAAACACTTGCTGACCTAACCTAAACCTAATCATTTGTAAAATGGTTCCTGTAACTAAAATATAGATCAATAGTAGACTAAGAATTATACTGATTTAGCTGTTTTATTTATAAAGAATATCACAAAATGGTACAAATGATCTTGTAAAACAATAATAAAAAATAAATAACAGCAAAATTTCAATAGCGCCCTATATTATTTGTAAAATTACTCTAAAGTGCTGTTATGTAATCACACTTTGCTTAATAATAGTGTACATACGTTGTGTACATACATGGATCGACAGCGAAATGATAAATATATAACATGTAATTATAAACTCGACTCTTTTTATGCTAAAATGCCAATTTAATTCAAATAAAACGTTTCATACAAACCTTAATTCAACTTAAGACAACTGATAGCAAAATTGAGAAAAAGTAACCTTAAAACTTCGTCTTTGAAAACAGGACCTTACGACTCCGACATAAGGAATTATGTTCGAAAGAAATAGACCAATTTCATAATTACTTGACCCACGAAGAAAAAAGATTCATGATACAAGGGCCGAATCTTTTGAGCGATTTAGGTATTGTCCTTTAAACTCTTTTGTATTAAAGAGGACAGGTCAGCAACGAGCTTAGCTATCAACATTATTCCTATATATATATTGTCTCTACTAAAATTTGGAATTAGATGCAAACTATTACCTTGTTTGGATGCAAAATGCAATTAAGTTGAAATATATTGAATTTTACATATTGCAAATTAAGTTAAATTATACAAACATCTAATAAAGACATCTTTTCGAAGTAAATCAGGTGAGATGACCTAATGTCATAATGGTTCCATCAACATATGTTTTTTTTATCTATTTAATCAATTTTATATTCAAATTTGCAATGTCTTACAAAAATACACCTGGTACCGGTACCTCTGGTGTGCCAATTATAGTACACGTTTCCCCACACGTATAAACCACAGATGCTTGCAGGGATTAAACAGTTGCTTAAATGATTATAGTATGAAACTCACGTTCGCAGGTATTTGCATGGACGGAACAGTTATTTATGTGATTATTGTATAGCTAAGTGTTTACTTCTAAACATAGATAGGTTAGCAACTTAGCCTCAAGATTAAATGTTGCTCACCACACTTAAACCATTTAAAATGATATCACATGGATGGTACCTAGCTACCTGTACCACTGCTAAAAATGTAACTACATGTTATCAGTGAAGATTATTAACTATAGAATGATATATCATTTTCAAAATCGATACCCTGTGGAGTTTTTATGAAAATAAAATAAAACATGAGAGAAAAATCAAGAATAACGTCCAGAAAGTACAAAGTGACCGGACGATCAGGATTCTACCCTGGACTACGACTCTTTACAGACGAGCTAGCAGGTCAACAGAAGTACTCTGTTACAGTTGCTAAAGTTTTATCTAAACGAAATTAAGGGGAGGTTACTGTGTACGAAATACTACAGTGGTATTCTCTGGTGTTTCACATGCAGTGGGACAAGGACCCACTAATTATTGAATGAGTTGGCGAATGTTATATAATGTTTGTTATATATTCTAAGTAATATAAGATAACAAAACTAATATTAATGTATTGTGTATTTGCATATGAAAATGACTCGCCTGCAGCAGACGTTAATAAAAAGTGGCACATTTACAACTTGAATCATAATTTAATATACTAGTTTTGACGGTGGTTTTTTAAAGAGGAATTCTGTTTTTGAATTATCAAAACCTAATTACAAGATATTACAAAAAAAGTTTCTCTCCATGGTTTTTGTTTAAAGATTTGGTTTCTAAAGAAACTAACACGCTACATTAACAGAAATAAAATAATCAAACGAAATAAAGTTTTGCAAATAAAAATTCACGGATATTGAAAAAAATAATATCATAGGTTCTTTGCTACCGTGTATCTATTCCTTTTCATATAACGTTGTGATATTTCTGTTTTAGATGACGGTGGCAGACCCTGCCTTATAACTCTGTTTAGTGGTTTGATCGAGGGGACCTATGGTGCTGACCTTGCCGAAGCTTCTTCGCAGATGACAAACTAAAGTCACATTTCGATAGAGAAAAACAACACAAATCTCAGATTGGATTGAAGAACATTAACTCCGTTTATTATTACCCTCGAAGAAACCAAACAGATATATATATATCTCTAAATATATTTATTGAAAAAGTTGTATTCACAAGGAGAGTATCGCTTTATAACATATCATTATCTCGGATGTTTTAATAAATAGTATAAAGGACAAAAGAAGTATTCAGTAAATTGGATGTAATTAAAACTTTAATGGAAGGACAGTCGTTATATTGTGTGACATATTGACATAGATAGATCATATGGGAGACACAAGAGTTGCCTATTTGTGGTGATGTTAAACAATAGGTATTTAATTGGCAAACATCAGCAATTCCAGCAATGTATTTTAATAGAAGATGTATTTTATTTGATAATATATGTGTTATAATTTGTTGTTAATGACATAAACATATATTATTTAACGAATTTATGAAAGAATAAAGAAACAAAGACTGATAAGTCATAGAAGAGCATAAATATCCCTGTGTGGAGTACAACCCTGGACTAAAACGCGTTGTTGGGCCGTTTGGCGATCCAAGCTTTGATGGCAGAATTAGCAGCAACTTTTTCACTGTGAGCTATCAGTTTGGCATCCTCAAGGAAGGCCTCAGCTGCGGTTTTGTCAAACAGACTCTCAGCGTCAGCAAACATGCAGAATACTACAATGTCGGCCACCGTCAGCTGTTTGGGAAGTGAACAAACGTGATTCAACTAATCTTCTGCCAGTATGTATCTTACTACATACACATGTATATATGTTTGTTTACATTAATAATATCACAAATCTGGTAATTTTGAACAGAAATAAAGGCAAATTATGATATACAACACACCGCCAATACGTAAGGCCACTTTGAGGGTAAGAGTCTAATCATATGAATAACAGGAGTCGAATAGGCACTGAAATATATGTTGGCATACTTATGGGAATGTAATTCGACATGTTGAGGAAAAGCTCAACAAGTCACAATTTATGAAGTTCCCATGGTAAGAAACATTTCGGCAAGTGGTGTTGTACATAATATCAGTTTTATTTATTAACTTGTCAACAGGTGACCATGATACGTTTCCATACATATTCCTGTCATCAGTTAATTTTAGTCATGGGTAGCAGTGTACAGTAGAAATGGCTTGACCCTAAGAATAAAGGGCATGTCTCGGATAAACATGGATAGTGAATTCAACCTGCACAACACACCTACATATATATACATATTTATAAACTACATATTGATTTCATTTTGTTTAGAAGACTGATTTGTTTTTCAAAAACTGTTTTCCCCAGATTTGGGACTTGTGAAAACCATGGTTGCCACATCAAAAAACACCAAAATATGCAAAAAAAACATTTTTATCCCAAAATTTGACCCCCGCAAGCAGTATTTTTTTTCTTAAAACCCGTCTGAAATTAAATACCGCCTACTCGGTACCAGAATTACTCACGTTTAAGCATAGGTCATTTCGGTGGATATTTCACTATATTTACACATGTGCTGAGTACAAAAATAGACAAAATGAAAAGCTAGCTTTTGTTGTGTTGACACAGATTTGTAAATGCCCAAAACTAGTCTCAAACCAAATTCGATTTTTTTTAAATTATGAAGCCCACATAGTCCACTTCATCATGTATATGCCAATTTTATTGCTTTTTTTTTAAATGTTGATACATGTTATATTACAGGGGTTATTCATTGTATAAAAATATCACCCATGGTCATCGTACGCTACTGTACACTGCTACCATGATAATCACGACGCCATTATTATCCCGCTTAATCGACTTGTCATGATGCATTGTAATGATCATGATAGTGAGATATTTTAATGAGAAGCAATAATGGCAGGAATATGCCACAATAGGTATAACCACACGAAATGAATATGAACTCGCACCGTAATATGGGGCAAATCACATTTAAAAGGAATTCTGATTACTATTATCAATTAATGCAACTAAACGGAGAAAGAATAAACTATCTAAGGCCTTACCTTGGATCCGACTAACCAGCCGCTGTTCTCTTTGTTGTCGCTCAATGTTTTGCTCATAATTTTCACAAATTTAGGAACAACCTTCTCCCCAAACGCCTTTCTAAGTTCTTTCTGTGATAAAGATAACGCAAAAGATACGTGCTGATTTGTGTTAGAAGTATGAATGAGAAACCGGCAATTATGGACGATATATTACACAGGTAAAAGGGGAACAATATCTAGCACAAGTAACCATACAAACACACAATAATATCTAATACTATTGGAAAACAGGAACAATATTTGCTTAAACACAAAAAGAGATGACAATGTTTAAAATACACAGCAAACTAAGAATAACAATATTATAGTAAACACAAAATACAATATAAGCATATGACTTGCAAACGAAGATGACAATATTTATATAAACGGCAAGGACAATATTTTGCATAAATAGCACACGAACACGACAATATTTGCAAAAAGAGCAAAACAAAGTTCAAAGACAATAGTTTGCTTAAACACCAAAAGAGACGACAAAATCGAAGAAAACGATATCTTAATCTTACAAATACAGATGTCAATATCTGACACACACAGCAAGCAACGGTGACAGAGTTAAGCGTAAAAAATAAACAAAAACGATTTTTTTTATTTGAATTATCATAACAAAATAAGCATAGTTGAAACTATAAAATTGTATTTATATAACCAATTGCCTGTTACTGAAGGGGCTGTATCTACTTTTTATTACTAATGTTAGGTAAAACGTCCATTGATAAATATATAACAAGGTATGACAACAAGAGAGGCATTTCTACTTGTTGCTGTTTATATATTATCCTAGTGTATATAATGTGTACCTTCTTATCCTCGTCCTGCTCCATGTAAGGTTTAATCATTTCGGTAAAAAAGTCTTCATATGTAGATATGATTGTATCCACCATTGTCATGTTCTTGGTACCTTCACCATACATATCTACAGAACCATAGCAAACACAATTAATATAATTGTCATATTAAAAAATACACAAAGACAATCATTTTATCACCTTAACAACTTCTTCGTTAAGTCATTTGATATCGTCCTATGCCTGATATAATAAACATGTTCGAAAGAGGACGCTCTTAAAAATAATAATTTACATAATTCAATTGTTTGTAGACCAACGTTTTAGATGTCTAAGGCATACTATAGTTATTTGCAATAACAATATATACTTACCATATTCTCTGGCAATATATCGTAAGATGGCAGTGCTTTGTGCAATCATATGTCCGTCTACAGACAATATAGGCACTGCACCTTGCGGCATTTCTGAAAATAATACGGAGAAAACAGCTGGTTATTTTACCAAAATTTCTTGCTGATAGATTGATTGATTGATTAAACATAGAATAGAACGAAAACAACTTATTGTTCGTAGTTTCAAAACGGACGTATATATATATAAATATATATACCACATCGGCTTCAATGATAAAATATCCTATAATAGGAAAAAATATTGCACGCAGGGAAGTTTTGCCCAATGCAATATTCGTCCTTTAGTTGGCTCTTTATAGTTTACCCTTTACGCTGAAGGCGATATTGGCCATTTTTGCATCTTACGATCGCAGAAGCAATATTATGTATGTAAAATGTAAAAAAAGGTTCAGATATGATTATTAAAATACCCCTTTAGAGCGGTTGAGATAACTCAAACATAACTGTGAAAAACATCATAAGTAATAATCAACGGCTGTGTTATCCTTCTGTTAGGTTTAATGTTTTATATTTACATTTGCTCTGCAACCTTCCAATGCAATGCATTGCAATCCCTTCCACACATTTATGATCTAACCAATGAGGATAAAGGAAAATTATGTTATGTAATGTTGCTGTTTGTATAGCAGTTTATGCTTATTAATCAGTTTTGCATATTTCCGTTTATTCAATAATTTATCCCTGCATATATTTGTTCTGTTTTGATAAAATTCATATGAGTGGTGGTCATCGACTCGTTGATTATTGTTATTGTATTAATTCTTCGATTGTGTGTATCCATACATTTAATACTTTGGTAAATAACAATTATACAATCAATACATATGTGTGTAAACTATTTACAAATTAATCATATTTTGCAACAAACCAAATATCCATTCAATAATTTATTTAGTCGTTCATTTATTTATTTATTTTAAACTAGATTCCTCGAGGTATTTTTATTATCTTTGTTATCTTACAACAGAAATAAATAAACCTCGTTTTTATATATATAATTAAATATAAAGAAAACATTGAGAAGTCCTTGTGTTGGAATTAAATATAAAAAATAGAACAAAAGACAGAGATAGCGTCTCTAGGCCTTTCTCGGGTTGATTCCCCGTTCATCAGGAGACTGTTTATTTTGAAAACAGGTATTGTGAGGTCATAGTTGTTTACACAAGAAAGTATGACGTCATCAATAATGCAAAGTCATTATGACGTCACAGAAGGCATACACATAAATCCATGACGTCAACAACAATACAAGCTAAATTGTGACGTTACATTACTTAGACAAATGCATAACTTCATGATCTTACCAACAATAAAAAATACGGGAGATACAAATTGTTTCATTTACGGCAACAATAAAATATGAACAATAATATTTAAAGCACAGCAATTGCTTAAAGCATGACACGTTGAATTTAATGTGAACTATTCAGACTGGGTTTCAACAGTTTCATTAACTCCGACTCCTTAACTTCCCTCTTTATCACATCAGATGAATGCATTTGGTAAATAGGGAACACTTTGAAGTTATTGTTAGCACAGTTATGAATATGTTTGTTCACTTGTAAAACTCTAAGGTCATCATGGATTGTTTGTTGCTTGTGAAGAGTCAATATAATAATTAAATATATATATATTACAGCCTAATTTTCCATTTAACATTTATAAGGGTCATGATTTTAATAATACTCCTTCTTGAAGACGAAAAGAACCGGGGCTATTTGTTTCTAAACTGGATATTTTTATTCCAAATGTACAAAAAAATGGTAAAAATGATGCACCATACCCAGCTGTTTCAACCTCCTAGGACGCATCGGTTTATGATAGGGGCCAAAAAGCTGGACATGCAAATTGGTCTAAATTGTTGTTGAATTATAAAGGGGGTATATGAAACCCCTAAACTGTATGTAGTTCAAACATTAGAGGAGAACCTGTTAATTTCAAATTAATAATGAGTGAAGCGTGTATATTATGAGCCTTGCCACTATTCGGGAGATAACTGTAGCCATCAAGGTAACGGCAAACATCGGGGACTAAGAAGTCTAACAGCAAAGTATCGTGATAGATAGCCATCAAGATAACGGCAAACATCGGGGACTAAGAAGTCTAAAAGCAAAGTATCGTGATAGATAGCCATCAAGGTAACGGCAAACATCGGGGACTAAGAAGTCTAAAAGCAAAGTATCGTGATAGATAGCCATCAAGGTAACGGCAAACATCGGGGACTAAGAAGTCTAAAAGCAAAGTATCGTGATAGATAGCCATCAAGGTAACGGCAAACATCGGGGACTAAGAAGTCTAAAAGCAAAGTATCGTGATAGATAGCCATCAAGGTAACGGCAAACATCGGGGACTAAGAAGTCTAAAAGCAAAGTATCGTGATAGATAGCCATCAAGGTAACGGCAAACATCGGGGACTAAGAAGTCTAAAAGCAAAGTATCGTGATAGATAGCCATCAAGGTAACGGCAAACATCGGGGACTAAGAAGTCTAAAAGCAAAGTATCGTGATAGATAGCCATCAAGGTAACGGCAAACATCGGGGACTAAGAAGTCTAAAAGCAAAGTATCGTGATAGATAGCCATCAAGGTAACGGCAAACATCGGGGACTAAGAAGTCTAAAAGCAAAGTATCGTGATAGATAGCCATCAAGGTAACGGCAAACATCGGGGACTAAGAAGTCTAAAAGCAAAGTATCGTGATAGATAGCCATCAAGGTAACGGCAAACATCGGGGACTAAGAAGTCTAAAAGCAAAGTATCGTGATAGATAGCCATCAAGGTAACGGCAAACATCGGGGACTAAGAAGTCTAAAAGCAAAGTATCGTGATAGATAGCCATCAAGGTAACGGCAAACATCGGGGACTAAGAAGTCTAAAAGCAAAGTATCGTGATAGATAGCCATCAAGGTAACGGCAAACATCGGGGACTAAGAAGTCTAAAAGCAAAGTATCGTGATAGATAGCCATCAAGGTAACGGCAAACATCGGGGACTAAGAAGTCTAAAAGCAAAGTATCGTGATAGATAGCCATCAAGGTAACGGCAAACATCGGGGACTAAGAAGTCTAAAAGCAAAGTATCGTGATAGATAGCCATCAAGGTAACGGCAAACATCGGGGACTAAGAAGTCTAAAAGCAAAGTATCGTGATAGATAGCCATCAAGGTAACGGCAAACATCGGGGACTAAGAAGTCTAAAAGCAAAGTATCGTGATAGATAGCCATCAAGGTAACGGCAAACATCGGGGACTAAGAAGTCTAAAAGCAAAGTATCGTGATAGATAGCCATCAAGGTAACGGCAAACATCGGGGACTAAGAAGTCTAAAAGCAAAGTATCGTGATAGATAGCCATCAAGGTAACGGCAAACATCGGGGACTAAGAAGTCTAAAAGCAAAGTATCGTGATAGATAGCCATCAAGGTAACGGCAAACATCGGGGACTAAGAAGTCTAAAAGCAAAGTATCGTGATAGATAGCCATCAAGATAACGGCAAACATCGGGGACTAAGAAGTCTAAAAGCAAAGTATCGTGATAGATAGCCATCAAGGTAACGGCAAACATCGGGGACTAAGAAGTCTATAAGCAAAGTATCGTGATAGATAGCTATCAAGATAACGGCAAACATCGGGGACTAAGAAGTCTATAAGCAAAGTATCGTGCTAGATTACCGTAACACAAACGCATATGATTCAATTTCAATTTCAACAAATTTTATTGACAATATAAGCAATAGTCAATAGAATCAGACAGCAGGCATAGCCTATATAAGTCCTCTCCTGAAGGTGACAACCGGTGGTAAGAAACACAGACATATATTTATACATTGATATGATGAATGGGATAAGGGGAAGTAACTCCTTGATGTAAACAGACTTGTTCAGTATTCTTGAGATATAGTAACCCTTTCACTAGGTATATTTAATTTGAGATAATTACTAGACTATTATCTTCAGTGAATAATATCAAGTATTAGACAATGCGTTACTGGTATTCATGTAAGGTAAACTGTTTAGCATAAATATTTGGTGATATTGGATGTATTCCCCCCAACAGAAGAAGAAAATATACACCCATCTAAGCTGCCCAGGGCCAACTTCATTCAATAGGTATATAACAGGTAAATTAGTTATTTCAAACGTAGAATAAAGTAGTAGTATCTAATTAATTCCATATTATATTACATTAGGTATAGCTTGTACTGCTATATCACTGTAGTTGCACCTACAAAAAGTTTGAAAGATAAACCGTTTACCAAACTAAATTTCACTGCACTCTACAGCTGTTTCATCCGTCTAGACCTCATCGGTGAATCTATAGACCAAACAACTGGACACTCAAATTGGTTTAAACCAGTTGAAACAGAAGATCAATAAACCCATTAGCCAAATGAATTCCAAACATCCGAGGAGCACTATTTAATTTCAAATTAAGAACAATTATAAACCGTGCCACTAGTTAAAGAGATTAGTGTGGCCGTTAAGGTTTGATTTTTTGAAAATATCACTATAAAACAATTATGTATCGAGATAAACCTTTACATTGTTTCTTTTTATAATTTTGTTTCAAATACTGCCAGACTTTCCATCATGTTCTGTATTAAGAGTTCATAATCAAACGTCCCTAGACAGGAAAGGGGGGAATACGAGGGAATGAAGGTTACTGTTAAATGACCCCCCCCCCTTTCTCTGCAAGGAAATCATCTTTAAATTCCTACAGAATTCCTACTACGTAATGAGCTTATTTCGCAATTCTGTTGACCTACATCAGTGTATGGGTGTTGCCCCAGTTTTACATTTCACGGCTTAAATAGTAGTTTTACATCTCTGACCAACACATAAATAAAACGACATGAACTATTCATTTCTTTCCATAAACTAACTTGTTATACTATTATCTTTGTAAACAGACTGGTATAACAATCGGACAAATATAAAACATTATTGCTAATATCAAACTAAAACGGTAGCTAAATCGGAAGCAGGTAGCAGGAGAGTTATTTATCAAATTGTTCATCTTTTACCTGACTTCATTTTTTCCCATTCCTCGCTTTGGACTCTTTTATCCTCAAACACCTGTCCAGCAGCAGCAAGTGATAACCTGATGGGTTCTGCCCTTCCGCGGGCATCAAAATAGATCACACGATATTCCGGCATGTTTCCTCTCAGCATAGGAAAAGCTATAGGACGATTTCTGATTCAGACTGTCTTATTAAACTGTCCGTGCGCTTGCGCGTTTAAGGGGTGGTGTACTGTATTGTTAGTGGAAGAAAAGCTAGAATATGTCCTAACCTATAGTAAAAACACATTAAGGTCAAATTCCACGCTTGGTTTCACTCACATTTACCACATTTTTTATAATAGGTCTCATCTCACCCTTAAGGTTAGTGACCCCCATGATTACCGTTGTGTGGAGCATTCATATGTTTATTTTAAATCAATATCTCAATGTCTATTGAGGAAGGAGTAAATAAAACACGTGGCTTTCAGAAGTAGTTTTAAAGTTAGGGTATCTAGAACTTAAAGACTCTCAGACTACCCTTTCAAAAGAAATGTTATTTCTTCAAGACAAGTATGTCCATACTTCTGTTAATGAAATGTGTTTCTTCGTCAATATAATTTTCAAAACAATTTTGAGATCAGAGATACCAAAATATCACACAGTTAATATGTTAGCGCTGTTTAATTTATTGAGTTGTTTTGTGAAACTGAAAATGTGAAAATACTATTCCAGAAACGAAAAAAGAGAACAAAAACACGGCTACCCGAGACAATGCGCATTGTCCATTTTGACGTCATAACAACCCTATCATTTCCTTATTTTTGTGTCGTCTCAATACAGCCTCACTCCTTTATTTATAGCCTTGTTTGCTTGAGGATGGACTTTAATACTGACGAATATATTCTATGTTTATTGATGAATAACAGTTATGCACTTGCTAAAATATCAAAATATCAACCGCTCGGCCGCTGAACGACCGGAAATGGGAATGAAAGAAGTAGGGTGCATCATTGAAGTGAAAGATAAGGTATCGAAAAATAATAGAATGAAAGATTTAAGATGAAATAATTTGACAAGTACATTGAGGATGCAAGACCTCCTCGCGAGGACAACAGAGTGTAGGGAAAGCTGAAAGCTTGTAGCTCCCATATACACTTTTGTTAAAACTCACAAAAAAATGAAGGAACGATAATATTCAGCCCTCTCGTGAATTGGAGTTTTTGTTCATTCTTCAAGAATGGAAGAGAATTCTCTATGTAAAGGCCATGTTTAGGTCATTTTTCGGATACAGATATAAATAATAGATTTATAAATGGAAAGTTATTGTAATAGAATGATTTTCAAATGTTTTCAAACTGACATCTGGTTATTTCCTTGACTAAAAGTATGATTCCCATCATCACAATGTAATTGTTTCTTTGAATGCAGTGTGTTTGGTTCTTTGAATATATACACTGTTCGTTCTGTGAAAAAAGTATTTGACTTTTGAGAACAAAATGTATAAGTTTTCTGTGAATACAATTAGTTTGTGATTACCATTGGCTGATTTTTCTTCTGTGAATACAGTCTGACTGCTTTCTTTGAATGCTTTGTTGTTGTATCTTTTTATATGCATGTTCAATATAGCACTGTTTTGGTGATATATTTTTACCTTATTAAGCTTTTGAACGAGATATTTGATCAGATGCATATTTATCCCCAGAAGTTTTCTTATAATACTGTATGACTACATAATTTTAACTGGATAATACGGTGGATTTGACGGCATAAATATAGTGGTCCCAAACGATTGATGGTTGGTTATCATGTTTATCTCTGTCGAGTTGGTTCATTTTCAAATTATATAAAGACACGAGGTTAACCGAATATTATTTGCAATTTGAAAATTGACTTACGAGAGTTAGATAAACAAATTAGGGACTTTTTTCTTCGTTCAGATATCATGTCTAAAAAACCATGTTTCTCATCGTAATATAATCTTCCCGTTTCCGATTCGGGAAACAATCGCCATTAACTATGACGTCACATGTGTACATAAAATAATTTATACTGAATATAAACTCCATGTTATGAATCGATCCAACGGTATATGTCATATGTGTCATATTGAATTAGAAACATTGAGCCACCTATTTTTGCATTATAACTCTGTTACTCAAGCGGTAGAACTCATACAAAATAATGTTATAAATAAAATACCTGGACTATTGATTACTTTGAACAAAGAAATAATATTGCTAGGAGAATGTTCAGATACAAACACAGCAATAACAAACACTGTTGTCTATACAATGAAATGGGTTATCTGGAAAACAAGAAATATAATAAAATATCAAAACAAGAGACAGACACCACTTTCTACATTTAAAATGTTTAAACATGTATTATTAGAAAACTTAAAAGTATTTACAAAATCAAACTCAATAAGAGATACAAAATCTACACGTATACTAATTCAGAACTATAAATTATTGCAAGGTATATTAACTAGCACCTAGACATATTGAAGCCTGGGGTTGTTTNTAATAGATTATACCCTGACTATTATCAACACATACTCTAGAACTATAACGCTAACATGGCACTTTAATTCGCTGAATTGGATGATGTTATACCATACGAAGCATTTCATATACTAATATTTACCATATAATAACGTTTGTGCGAATCGAAGTCTGTTCACCATCGTGACTCTAACCGGAAATCAGACACTGGATTATAATACAATTTTAATTAGAATAGAGTACGGACAAGAATATCCGGAAGTTTATTTTTTAATTCAGAATGTGAATCTTTACCTATTTGTTAATATATAATGTAAGACGAATACTGACACTTGATAGAATATTTTGAACAGTATATACATTATTTAAAGGCGATTCTAGACGCTCATGTACATTGTATGTATATTTATATATATGTTTATGTCATAAAATTTTGAAAATATAATAAAAAATAAAAAAAGATAAAAAAAAATATGACGTCACGATGGAAGATGTCGTCGCAAACCCTTGTTACTTGACGTCATAATGAAAAGATTGACCAATGAAATAACGTTCGGGATGTTACCCAGCGGTACCCAAAAAGGGTTAACAACTCCTAGCAGGTTTATCCAATGAGTTGGAAGTGAGAAAAACCTAAGGTAGTTGTAGGAGAAAGAGAAGTCACACAGATAAAATTACACATTTGTCATACATTATTTTCATAAGACAATTGATCATGACATGCCTCCTTGTACTGTTTACAGTTCTTTGTTAAGAGCATACGCATGCAATAGGTATGTCCTCTTGCTTAATAGAATATACGCATTGATTTTAACCCGCTCTTTCATTGGTTTGTGTTTACAGAGAAAAAATAATTGATAACGTCATACACAAAGTAATACTTTGTTTTACAAATGTGTAATCACAGGTTACACCTGTATAATCATCGGTATTCACGTCTTTTGACATTGGAACTTCGCGGTTTATTAGTAGAGGGAAAGAGATGGGACAACTGCCCCGTCCCCCCTCCGGCCCCTCCCAAAACCGCGGGAAAACATTTCCCTCCCGCCCCTCCCAAAACCGCGGAAAAAAAATTCCCGCCACCCCACCCCAAAACTAAAAAACGTACGACAAACGTTTCAGGTGGCGATTTAAATGTCCGGGTAAGAGGGTTATTAAATGTCCAGTCTATTTCCCTGGAACCCTTGAGATCGCCGGGTGCTTTCCCTGCCGTTTTGAAAACCGCGCCAAATAAGAAAGCCCGTTAAACTATTTGAAGACCCTAGTCAGAGATAAGAGGAAATATTAAATGTCCAGTTTATTTCTACCTAGAGATCAGAGGATTATTAAATGCCGCTAATCATGGTCCCAAATCTACAAAAACCACATCATACGCACAAACCTATCCTTAAGAAACAATCATTTCAAATTAGCCACATACAAAAACCACATCATACACACAAACCTTTCCGTAAGAAACAATCATTTCAAATTAACCACATCCAAAAACCACATCATACACACAAACCTATCCGTAAGAAACAATCATTTCAAATTAACCACATCCAAAAACCACATCATACACACAAACCTATCCGTAAGAAACAATCATTTCAAATTAACCACATACAAAAACAACATCATTCTCACAAACCTATCCGTAAGAAACACTCATTTCAAATTAACCACATACAAAAACAACATCATTCTACCAAACCTTTCCGTAAGAAACAATCATTTCAAATTAACCACATACAAAAACCACATCATTCTCCAAAACCTTTCCGTAAGAAACATTCATTTCAAATTAACCACATACAAAAACAACATCATTCTCCCATACCTATTCGTAAGAAACACTTATTTCAAAGAAACCACATACAAAAACAACGTTATTCTCCCAAACCTCTCCGTAAGAAACATTCATTTCAAATTAATCATATACAAAAACCACATCATTCTCCCAAACCTTTCCGTCCACCATGACATCTTTATTACTTTGAATGAAATTAACAAACTTCTTGTTCGACTATCAACTTTCAATACGTTCAATATGTTTCGTCAGCATCTAAATATAAAATGTTCGTACATTTACACTATGAACGAATCCTATCTATAAATCATACGCGTGGCCCAGTGGCCGAAGACTGAATCAATTACTATTACTAGTTTTCATAGTCATATAAAGCTGACAATATATCGACCTTTTCCAATAGTACTAAACTGTTACAAAATTCTTGAAATGCTTTTGACTCCCCTACGCGGTAAAATGTCTAATAATAGACGGATGAGTTGGAAATAAACTGGACATTGAATAATCCACTTACCCGGACATTTAAATCGCCACCGGAAACGCTGCCGTACGTTTTGGGTTTTGATCGAATGGTATGATTGATAATTTTTATTGTATTTGAATGTCGGTGTGCTTGTGTTAGGTTTTCGGAAGGGCCGGAGGGAAATGTTTTCCCGCGGTTTTGGGAGGGGCCGGAGGGAAATGTTTTCCCGCGGTTTTGGGAGAGGGCCGGAGGGAAATGTTTTCCCGCGGTTTTGGGAGGGGCCGGAGGGGGTGAGGGGCAGTTGTCCCATCTATTTCCCTCTACTTTTATTTAGAGTGCGCTTCAGTTTTCGGTCTATACATTAATAGACAATCTATTATCTTTTCTAATCCTTTAATAAACGAAATTATTGACCTCTACGTTAATGT